CCAATGATATACATCTATCGGAATCTCCATGCAGTTCAGTCCACTCGCATATTCAACTTTATGTAGGACAAGAATTCAAGGATGTCAAGCTACTCCGTAATCATTTAGTAGATTAATGCATATATAAAAATTTTATTATGAGGTACTTGAATAATGACCAAGATCGTTTAGTTGTGATTTGTATCGGGAAGGAGTGCAAATGGAAAGTACAATGCTTTAGAATTTCCACCAAAAACTATTTTAAGGTGAGAGAGTTGATAGATAACCACACTTGTATGGGTCCAATGGGAAGGGTTCACCAGCCATTAGCTCGAAGCTAGTGGGTAATGAGGAAAAGTAAACCCTAGTTAACTGACTAGATAAATATGAGACCTAAAGATATTATGAATGACGTTCAACGAGAATATGGTGTGTTGTTGTCATATATGCAAGTGTGGAGAGGGAAAGAGGTTGTGACGTAAATGATTCTGAGGTCACATAAGCAGTCATATACAGAGCTACCCCTATATATGGAGAAGCTACAAGTCACCAACCTCCAAACTGTAAGCTACATATCTACATATCATGACCATAAATTCCAACATATGTTTTTGTGTTTTAATCCTTGCTTCCATTGATTTTTGTATGGTTGTAGGCCTCTCATTGGTTTGAATGGGACGTTTCTGAAGGGAACATATAAGAGGACTCTGTTGAGCGCTATTGGTGCAGATGCTGATGGTGGCATGTTCCCAACAGCATTCATTGTGCTAGATAATGAGGGCAAAAATACTTTGATATGGTTTCTTAAATGCCTGAAAGAGTTGCTCAATACACTACAAGACTTGCATCGTTTGACTATTGTTTCAGATCACATAAAGGGCTATTACAAGCATTAGAATGCATCTTCCTTGACTTTTATCCAAGGTTGTGTGCGTCATTTGTCACAGAACTTCCTGAATAGATTTAAGAACATTACGTTAGTGACGATCTTATGAAAGACAGCCCGTGCACTAAGGGTAGAAGAGTTCGAGGAAGAGATGTTAAGAATGCAAAAAGCTGATCCTCAAGCATATGCGTAGTTAAATGCACAACCACGTCAATGTTGGACGAACATATATTTCGCTGAGGACAGATACAATCACATCAGGTCCAAGATTGCTGAGAATTTCAATGCTTTGATATTACCTTTCCATGATAAGCCGATTATTGCATTGTTTGAGGTAGTGGTTTAAAAAAGGGATTGGGCACCTCAAAAACCCATACTGATCGGTGAATCAGCGATCCGGATCGGGAATCGGCCTAATCGGTCAGATTAAAACTTAAAACAAATTCCAAAAAATTATTAAAATTCATTATAAATGTTGTTTTTCAGGAATCCCATAAGAAATGGGGGTACTCCATTAAGAATTTTCATTTTTTTACGTGAATATGATAATATTGATATGTTCTTTCCCTGCATGAACAACATAGAATTTAATTTACATCACCCAAATGGATAAGCATAGAATTATCATGGATTAAGTATATCATCATACATGGACTACAATAAAGCATACAATTCGTAACATACAACCTAAAAATAAAATGACAGACGACGTCGTTCTTCATCATAGTCATGCTGGTGCCATTGATTGAATTCGCGTGACAATTCATTGACTCGTTCTAAAAACGAATAAGAAACACTTGTTGTATAACCTTTTTTTTTACAAGAAACTTATATTTTTTTACAATAAAATTTTGTTTTTGACAAGAAAAAGAAATTTTGATGTATTAAATTCTTCCTTTTTTTTTTTTAACAAGAACCTTATGTTTTTTTTACAATAAGCTTTCATTTTTTGACAAGAAAAAAAAAATTTGTTGTATTACCTTTTTCTTTTTTTTTTGACAAGAGCCTTTTTTTTTTTTTTACAAGAAATATATTTTTAAAAAAAAAAATTTTATATTTTTGTAAAAGGAATTTATTTTGCAAAAAGGAAAAACATTTATTTGTTGGTGAAGGAATGCTAGCACATGGGCAGAAATTGATATCGTGACGTCCATCGCACTAAAACAACATGCTAACCACCACATCAAACGTTAAGTTATGATTCAAAGAGGCCACTTAATAATTATATCATATTTTTTTTTGAGCTATTATATTAGCGCAATTGTTCCACTACGAACCCATGTACAAATTTGGTAAGGATAAATAGTATTCTGCTACCAAAGCCAGTCGCTCGTGAAACATACAAAGCAATGTGGGTCGGTTCGTGATAGAGGAGCACGTGCGTTTGACAATGGATGCCCATTGTAACTCGAAAAGTTACAAAAATGCCCCTTGTCACTCATGATGTCATGCGTGTGCACAAAATCGAGCGAGTCATTACGTCATCTGGCCACTGAACCGGGTGAGTCGTTACGTCATCCGATGATTCACTGTACAGAATCATCGGTTCTTCTCTAGAACCGGGGGATTCTCGATTTTACAAAAGAATCGACACCGGATGATTGATTCGAAGAATCGAACGAGTTATTACGTCATCCGGCCACAGAACCGGGCGAGTCATTATGTCATCCAACGCTTCACTGTACATAATCGTCGGTTCTTCTCTAGAACCGTGGGATTCCTGATTTTACAAAAGAATCGACACCGGATGACCGATTCCCGGTTCGAATTGGTCGATTTCGTACCGACTAGACGATTTTTAAAACATTGGTATGAGGGCATTAAGATGAAGCTAATAAAGACTTTTACAGAGAGATTGATGGCAATAGAAAAATAGAATGGCATTTTAGTGCCGACTACACAAAAAGAGGTAGATATGCGAATTAGAAAGTACGAGGTGGTTGAGGAAAGGAGGTATGCTGTAGATCTCAATCAGTGGACTTGTACATGCATGGAGTGGAAGATTAGTGGCTTACCTTGCAGTCATGCAATTTGTGCTATCAACCACTACCACCTTCTAGTAACTGCATTTTGCCAGTCATTTTTCTCTGTAGTTTCTTACAAGATTGCTTATTCAGGCGTGTTCCTATCGGTACCAAACGATGTTCCTTTGTCTGGAGTTATTGATAGGATGGTGCTCTCCCTAAGACAATGTGACCCCCTGGTAGACCAAAGAAGCAACGAATCATGATAGAAGAAATATTTATCAAAGCTTACTTCTGCAACTATTGTGGTGCTAAGGGCCACAATAGGAGGTCATGCAAAGAACCAATTGATGATTGTATACCTCCTACATCTGAGCAAGCCACTGAGCATGGCAATAACTTCCTTGATATACCTGAGGAAGAGAGACACTTCATTGGTACACCTGAACAAGAATGAGGGTAGTGATATACCTAAGGAAGAGCGAGAATTTTCTGATGCCCCTGAAGAACAAATAGACTTCACTGATACATCGGATAATGACAGCGACTTTTCTGATAATGCAATTGAGCTCGGGAACTTTTGATCGAAGCTTTTTTTGTATCAACAAATAATCTTCTTGAACATCATGTTCGAATTTCATTTCTCCATAGATGAATGTAATGAGGTTGAACTATTTGAACATGAATGAATACAAATAAATCTTGTTTCAAGCCAAACATTCATGCTCTTCGTAACACTAGACGTATATATTACTTGCAATATATATATATATATATATATATATATATATATATATATATATTATAGTAGTAGTAGTGTAGTGTAGTAGTAACTATACTACGACCTACTACTTAACTTAAAACGTAAAAATAAAGTAAAAGTAACGG